AAATTCACCCCTACCCATTTCAGAGACAAGCCCTCTGAGATTGAAAGTTTACATGTTTTGTTTTTAAGAAAAATAATCTTTTTCTGGATTCTCAACTGAAAGGTATTTTTATGTTTCTTGTTCTCTCCATGAAGACTATAAAGCTCCCTTTTTATAAGTTCAGCTCTGTAATATTATGGGGAAATATTTTAAAAATCAAAACACAAACTAATGTGCCAAGAGATCCAAATGACAGAAATGCTTGAGATCATTGCTCTGTCTCTTAAGGTTTTTCCTTTTGTATCTGATCCCCCTTTCCCAAGATCTTGATGGCAATATTTAGAAAAGTTGAAAAGTAAAAAAAAAAAAATGTTACCTAATTCCTAACTTTGTTTAATATGCTTTAGCAATAACTTGAAGATAGGTATAGATTTATTTCTGGATGTCTACATGAGAAATTAGTGACTGGGGAAGAGAACTGGGTAGCTAGAAATAGGAAAGAGAGGTCTTTAGTTTTCAGCTAGAATATTTGGTATCTTTTCTGTTTTTCTTTCTGTTCGCATAAAAAAGACAAATATCCCACATGTATTTCCATGCTTTCCTAGTTGTCCAAGCCTGAGAAGACATGCTTCTGTGTAAACTCTTTTTATCATTGTATCCACATGTACAACTGACTTAAATGTTTTTATTGAAGTGAATCATTAATTTGGCCAGTAAACTAATTTTAAACTTGATTAAGAAATCACTTTTTTTCAGCCATCTATTTCAAAAATTGAAATATTTAACAACATGTTTAAACCAGCTTGGCCTAATTTAACTGCATTGTCTACAGAACTAGAGGTACTTTTTTAAGAACATCAAACATTATGGATAACAATAACAAGAGTTTGTTTAGATTGACTCTCTAGGGAAAATCTATCTTGATTAATTCTTCTCTATGCAAAAATCTGTTAATTTTTAAAAGTAAAGGTATTTAGATTTCCACCACTATGGAATTCTGGGGAAGTAGAAACACCAACACCAAGCCATGCCAATGAACTGGCCTTCATGAAAAATCCAGGGCACCTTTCTGGTCTTCCCCCTTACCAGCTCAGGGTTAGAGGTCAAGACTCACTCTACTGAGTCTCAGTCTCTCAATTTTAAAATAAAAACAAGAATAGCTCGTTTATTTCTTTCTAAATGAGATAAAGTTGGACTCAAATATTGATCAACTAGGCAAGTACTATTTGGAGAGCGGAAATATTTTATTTAATTTTTATTGTGGCAAAACAAAAGTAATATGAGAGGAAAGGGAATTTTCCACGCTTTACTGATAACTTAGTGCATAAACCGTATATTTAATCTGATGGCTATTAATATAAACAATTCTGTGTAGCCCAAATCTAATAAAAAGTGGGTGAATATTTAATCAATATATTGTGGTCTAATTACAGGAGACTATAAATCCTTTCGCCTAGGGCTCAATGTATTCATGCTAAGCACAGTTCTGAGAGCTGGCCTGTTGTCTTAGAAGAATGATGATCAGTTATTCCCAGATCTATCCGTCTAACAATAAGTCTACCTATATAAGCAGCCCTACTACTGGAAATTGTATTCCAAGACCTAATTTTCTATTTAAGAAATCAGTCTTTTCTATTAAGCTAAACATCTCAACCCATTGGTTCTACAAAACAATGTTTTGTTTTTAAACATTGGTTTATCTCATGTGCAAGAATTTTGTTTACATAACTCTAGATGACATTCTTCTTATTTTTTCCTTTTAATTTTAGAAATAAATCAGGTTAATGCAGTCTATTGTTTCATTGTGCCCGGTTATTCAGGCGCCTCTTGTAAGAGAATTATAAATCTCTACTTGTTGCCATGTGCATTGCAGTGATTTTCCATGGAGTAACTTCCTTACTCAATGACACCATTCTACCTGTGTGACTTGCTTTTACCAATGGAATATGAACAAAATAACACATTCCATGTCTGAAGTTTATGAGGTGTATTTGATTCAACCATTTCCAGTTTTCTTCTGCTATGAGAAAAGTCTGTCCCAAAGAAAGGCTATTACTTCTCTGTGGATTCTGAGATGTAGGATGTATGTGGAGCAGAGTCATGAATATGCAGCTGCTCCACAGCCCAAATATAAGGCAAATGAGACCTAAACCTTTGTAAACCTTTATATGATGCTGGGTTTCAGAAGCTATTGGTCATTGCAATATAATGTAATAAATACTGGCTCACATCTTTAACAAGGGTTCTGAACAGTGAGGAAATAATTATCCCAGTAACTTATAATATTTTTCGTAAGCCAGATTTCTTCTCCTTTTTATTACAAACATACAAGGAATTTCCACTTAGTGGAACTTACTCTTTTAAAATATAATATTTATTATACATAAACTGATACTTTATATATACCTAGTTTTTGTCATACAGTATACCAGGTCCTTATATCTTCCAAGTATTCAAAATAATAGTTTAATGAGAAGTTACTTTGGAGCTTTATGTTACAGAGAAAGAAATTGGGGCTTAGAGGTTGACATTATTACACAGTCAGGATTTCAACTCAGGCCACAGCCCCCAACCATGCACTGTTGTTTTTAATCACCTCTGTTGCTTAGTCATCCTTCAAATTAAATTATGATTTTGAAAAAGCAGACAAAATAGGATAAACACAAGTGTGACTCAACAGAGAAGATGTTGTTACTCAACCAAAGCCCCCACATCTCTTTCCCCGAGCTCCACTTGAGGGATAAATTGATCTTGAACAGCTTTTCTCAACAATAGCATCTTGGTGGTATATTACCTTTATGCTATTCATCATGTTCCAATGTAACCATGCAGATTCCAAAGACATGATTTAGATAACTAAGACCAAAATGTTAACAGCATTGGGACCGAGTAAAAAGAAGAAAAAAAAATGTTAACAGCATGGAATTTCCTTATACTAACATTAGCATTTCTATTATTTTTAATAGCAAAAGTGATTCATAGTATTTTCATAAATAAATTAAAAATGTACAAAGCTTTAAAATTATAATGAAAATTATGGCATGATGCATTTCTCTGAATGTAAGTTATATTTCTATTAAAAATTTGCGTGCACTTAAAAATCACACCACAGGATTGGTATAATTTTTTTTGTTTAAAGTATTACAAATAGTAGTACATATGTCTCCTTTATTCCCCATTGACCTCTCCCACCCCCCAGCACATGCCCTCACCCCCCTAGTGTCCATGTCCATTGGTTATGCTTATATGCATACATACAAGTCCTTTGGTTTATCTCTTACCCCCTCCCAACCATCCCCTGCCTTCCCACTGAAGTTTGACAGTCTGTTCGATGCTTCTTTGTCTCTGTATCTATTTTTGTCCATCAGTTTATTAAGTTCTTTATATTCCACAAATGAGTGTAATCATGTGATATTTATCTTTCTCTGACTGGCTTATTTCGCTTAGAATGATGCTTTCCAGTTCCATCCATGCTGTTGCAAATGGTAAGAATTCCTTCTTTTTTATAGCAGCATAGTATTCCAATTGTGTAGATGTACCACAGTTTTCTATTCCACTCATTTGCTGATGGGCACTTAGTCTGTTTCCAAATCTTAGCTATTGTAAATTGTGCTGCTATGAACATAGGGGTGCATATATACTTTCTGATTGGTGTTTCTGTTTTCTTGGGATATACTCCTAGAAATGAGATTATTGAGTCAAATGGAAGTTCCATTTTTAATTTTTTTGAGGTAACATCATACTGTTTTCCACAGTGGCTACACCAGTCTGCATTCCCAGCAACAGTGCAAGAGGGTTCCTTTTTCTTCACATCCTCTCCAGCACTTGTAGTTTGTTGATTTTTTGACGCTAGCCATTCTGACAGGTGTGAGATGATACCGCATTGTTGTATTGATTTGCACCTCTCAGATGATTAGTGACTTTGAGCATGCTTTCATGTGTCTCTTGGCCTTCTGTATGTCCTCTTTTGAAATGTGTTTATTTAGGTCCTTTGCTCATTTTTTGATTGGATTTTTTATCTTCCTTTTGTTAAGTTGTATGATTTTGGAGATTAAACCCTTATTGGAGATAACATTGGCAAATATATTCCCCCATGCAGTGGGCTTTCTTGTTGTTTTGTTGATTGTTTCTTTTGCTGTGCAGAAGCTCTTTATGTTGGTGTAGTCCCATTTGTTTATTTTCTCCTTAGTTTCCATTGCCCTAGGAGCTGTATCGGTAAAGATATTGCTATGACAAATGTCTGCTATTTTGCTGCTTATGGCTTCTTCTAAGATTTTTATGGTTTCCCATCTTATATTTAAGTCCTTTATCCATTTTGAATTCATTTTTGTGAGTGGTGTAAGTTGGTGGTCTAGTTTTATTTTTTTGTATGTATCTGTCCAGTTTTCCAAACACCATTTATTGAAGAGACTGTCTTGACTCCATTGTATGCTCTTGTCTCCTTTGTCAAATATTAATTGAGCATAATGGCTTGGTCTAAAATTTTTAATTGATAGATTCATTCATTGGGTCATTTATTCAATACTTATGTAGCTGCTGTGTGCTATACTGAATCTTTGGATATAGTAAATTCAATAGACAAGTATCTACCCTCATATCACTTGCATTATATATGGAAGACAGATAATTAACTGGTTAAAAAAGGGTAATCAAAACTGTTCAATATTGGGTACAGCCTACAAAGAAAACCATCAAGGCAAAGAAGCAGAGATGCCTACTTTGGATAAAGTGGTCAGTTGGTGAAGTAATAATTAAGTTGAAGTTTAAAGGATGAAAATGAGTCAGCCATGCAAAAAACAGACCACCACAGTCAGAAAGAAGAGTGAGGAAAAGCTGTGGAGCCAGGAAAAGGTGAAGTATACAGCAGGAACATAAAGGCCAGTTGGGCTGAGGTGTAATGAACAAGGATGAGGATAGACAGGGGTTGTGAAGAGATGAAGGTAAAAGTCTATCTAGGGTAGAACCTTGAATAATTAAATTATGAACTTGGATTGTTTTTCAGGGCAATGGAAAGCCATCAGCATGATTTTATGACCAATGCTTTAGCAAGTTCACTTTAGATGCAGTGCATAAAATGCACTGAGAGTGGGTAGGAGTGGAAACGTCTATTTTACCTATTCATATTGTTAATGTGGTCACACAGTTTCGATATACCTCCAAAGCAATGACAATAACTCATTTAGCAAAGACTTACCTAATAGAAAAGACAGAAAAGGGGAGATTTTAATTAGGAAGTTATTACAAAAATCCAGTTATAGATGAGAATAGTTTGGACCAAATGGAGAGAATTAAGCAGATTTGTGGTGTGTTTTGGAAACATAATGAATAGAAGTTTAGTGGTGGGTTGGCTGTGGAGTATAATTAAAGAGCCCTCAGAATTATTAGCAATCTTATATCTGTTGCAACTATGTTAAAGATGTGAAAGTATTTTTCCTAGATGGGGAAGACTAGCAAAAAAAGCAATGGGAGAGGAGAACCACAACTTTCATCTTGGACACGGAAGCTGTTTGAAGGACAAACAAGTAAAGGTATAATAATCAACTGTAGGGTCCAAAAGTATTGGCTTGAGACATAAATTTGAAGATCTGATCATTTAGACCAAGAGTTAACACATGACTACATGTGGGCCAAAGTTAAACACTGGTCTGTTTTTGTACAACCTAAAAAGTTTTGAATACTTCTTTATGTTTAAATTGTTGAAAAAATTCAAAACAAGAAGAATATTTTATGATACATAAAATTTATAGAAAACTCAAATTTCAGTGTCCATAAATAAAGCTCTATTGGAACCCAGCCACATTTATTTGTTTATGTATTATCTATGGCTACTTTCATGCTACAATGGCAGAGTTGAGTAGTTGTGACAAAGACCATATGGCCTGCAAAATAAAAAAAAACATTTACTATCTGGTTATTTACAGAAAACATTTGCCTACTGCTAATTTATATCATATTAAATTTATGGGAGTGGGTAGTAGAAATCCTAGAAAATTTTACTTTGCCTTTGCATCCAGCTACACAGATATCCCAGAAGAATGTGGGAACCTGGAGAGAGGACCATCCATTCACTTGCCTGCTGTGAGTTCCACTTGTGGACTCTCTAGGGAAGGAATAACATCAGAAGAGAATGATGAATTGGAAGAGCCAGACAGGGTTCCTGCATTGCAAGCTCCAAATTAACTGTACAGTGAACAGATTTGCAAAGGAAAAACAACACACATGGGAAAAGGGCCTTCTGTTTATTTTTTCTTCTTATTAATTTACCACAACCACCGTCAAGTGTCCCAGTTTCTGTCTGGGAAGAGAGGCTGGCAGGGCCAGTAATCAAAGAGCAGCTGGAAAACCCCAAGAAATTATGGAACCCTCATAAAAGAATCAAAGGACAATGTTTTTCAAACCACTTGAAAAACTGAAGAGTCCATTCTGGTCATGTTATTGTGTTTTTCGTGATGTGTTAACAACTGTAATAAAGGACATTGCCGATTGTGGACTGTGTGGAATGTTTTCAATGAAATTCCAGGCTCCTACATGATAGGATTCACAGGACCTTTTAGGGAAGCCCATGCTTTAACATGAAAATAATTGCCATGATGTATCTTAACTAGATAAACCTTCAGTAGAATTTCAAACAAGTGAATATTTATAATAGAGTAATAGAGTATACAACCTATTGCTTGTTAAATACATTTACACTTATCTTTTATGTGATCTACACAAATTGTCAGTATTGATTATGCAGTTCCTGTATGTGCCAGAAGCAATGATAATAACTCTTTTTGGAATAGTTTAGCTAATAGAAGAGAGAAAAGAGGAGGTTACAGTTATTTACCTCAGGACTGCAACTTGAGAGTGAAGGGCACGGAAACCACTAAGTCTTTAAAAATAAACATTTATTTCAATTTATCCACCAGGCATTTGAGCATAGGTGGTATTTTATTAGTGTTTTTAAATATTGACTGTGACGCAAAGAAGGCTAGAAGATGCCACATCCATTCATATTTTTTTCTAGAATTCTTACTGCTTCTAATTGTGGTAAACCAACTTCATTTGACCGGTCATGCCTGCTTACAATGACTTGTCAGCTTTTCCATTTGCTGGTCACTTAAGTTAAGTGTATCCATCTATTTACTTACTTCCAAAATTGCCAAAAACTACAGTGAAGAAAAACATTATCCAAGCCATTATATGTTGAGCTATTATTATGAAAAACCTGGCATTTATGTATAAATAGTTCCAGGTGTAGAACTATATATTAAAGGCATATATTTAAGTTTATGGAATCTCCCTTCCAGACAATTTTATCATTAAATAAGCTCATAAAATTGTTTTGTCATAATAGGTATGACAATGTAATAATTTATTTATCTGTATGTATATGTACACACACATGCATGTATCATGCACACACTCACACACATCAGCCATTCTATAAATTTCTTAAGGCAGTGGCTATTCAATAAATGTCAGAAGAAAGAAATACAGAGATAGTCACACATATGTGGTAGCTCTGACCTTGACCAATTTTACCTTACAGTGGTCATGACCCTATCTTATTTTATTTAGAGGGCACCAGTGGTGTTAACAGAGCACCTTACATATACTAAACACCCAACAAATGCAGCAGAATGAAGAATAAAGTCAATGGTACCATTTTATTTTTCAATCCCTTAGGGCATGGCACAATGTTAAATAAATACCAGGTCGCTTTTAGATGAAAATAATAGCATTTTATAGTTTACAATATGCTCTTCTATCTAGTTTCTCATTTAATCCTTAATACCACCTCACCAACTAAATTTTCTTATTCACAATTTAAGATGAAAAAATTAAGCACAGAGAAGTTAAATGATTTATTTGGGATATCAAAAAATGTCATCACATTGAAATACAAAATCTTTATCTCTTTGCACCATTCATTTCTGTGGAGTGTTGTTGATAAGTCAAAAGCCTGGCTGGCTGGCATTTGCAAGTGGGTGTACCAGGATACACTCTTGAATGTCGAACCTCAGGTACTTCATGGACAATTTGTATGTCACCATTTTAGATCAGCACTTATGGCGTCTTTATCTACAACCCCCCCCCCCCCTTTAATCTTTGTAAGCTTAAGGGCTGAGTATTTTCCTTGTGAAAATTTACTAAAATGAGAAACGTCCCAGACTCTGCGTCTGATATGACCTCAAAGAACTACTCAAGTCCCCAAATATTTCAAGTCAGACCATTGCTCTTCTCATCTCACATAGAGTTTGTTTGAAAGTCCAACTTATTCAATTGAAAGTTTTAATAAGTGATTGTTTGTATTGATACCTTCATGCTGCCAGTCACTTATCTTCCTTTCTTCTTTTATTTATTTATTTTTCCATTAGCTCCTTAAAAAAAAAAGATCTAGTTTAAAGAGAGGATTATTTTTTCTTGTTTGGTTTTTGGTATTGAGTTTCAGTGTCAGTCCTGTAAAGATTTAGACTAAAAGGCATACATGCACAAAAATATAACCCACACTCCCAAAGCTACAATTGACAAAAACACTTTTGGAGAGGAAAAGGGGAGAGAAGATCTTTGTTAATTTTTGACGGGGTTGGAGCCCAGCCATAAATAACACTTTCTACCCCTTTATTTTGACCCAATGCAAATCACCTAGCCTGGCTCCATCTCAGTTTCTTTACCCTAGATTATGGGCATGATGATGAGTAGCTTTGAGGGTGCTGAGAGGATGGATATAAGCATAATTTAAACTCTGGAGCACTTTCATAATTGACAGGTAACAATATTCACTCAAACATAAAAATAAGTCATTAAATGTCATCAAAGAGAAAGGCAAATGCCCAGGGTTCATCTCTGCTCCACTGTTGCTGGGGAAAGAGGCTCTTTGTTCCTTTAAGAGCTCTCAGACACATCTCCCATCACATCCTAAAAGCCTTCCTGGTTGTGCAGCTTAGGTGCATCCGGTAGCACAGCCGTGTTCCGATCTTCCTGGCAGATGTCATAATTTACTGTCACCCTCATGCAGGAATGTGGTGCAAGGGGCCCCCATACTGGCTCTGTGATCCATTGCCTGACAAGTGCCGGGTGTCAACCTCAGGCAGGCAGAGCGGAGGTGGAACGCCGTTTACCTGATAGTGCCTGTGATAAAGCGGGCAATTAGATGCACTTGGAAAATCCTGGCTGCAATCTGGCTGGCATTTAAGAAACATAACAGCCAAGCCAGGCTTCATAAGAGCTAATGGGAAAGATTAAGTCTTTCAAGATCTACCTTGATCTCTAAGGGACTCAGGAACACAGGATTCTGTAGCTTTATCTCTTTTTGAGTCTCCCCCACCTTCACTCTATTTCCTGAGATGGGAGTAAGGAGGAAAGAGCCTTAAGGCAGCGGTTCTCAACCTGTGGGTCGGGACCCCTTTGGGGGTTGATCGACCCTTTCACAGGGGTCGCCTAAGACCATCAGAAAACACATATATAATTACATATTGCTTTTGTGATTAATCACTATGCTTTAATTAGGTTCAATTTGTAACACTGAAATTGGGGGTCACTACAACATGAGGAACTGTATTAAAGGGTCGCGGCATTAGGAAGGTTGAGAACCACTGTCTTAAGGTTTCAAGTTTTGTTTTTTTATCTCAGAGTCATATATTATTTATTTAGTCCTCAAACCTCTCTCTCTCTCTCTCTCTCTCTCTCTCTCTCTCTCTCTCTCTCCCACGCACACACACACACAGTGCTAGGATTTAGTTTGGCACATTCGCTTACATTTTGTCTCTTGCTAGAGTTACTGGAGTTTGATGCCAGCTCAAGAGCATGATTTGTTTGACATTTGACGGCCCCCTCTTCATTTCCTCCTAACTGGATAGCTTCAGCTTGTCAATGATTAATGAGTCTGGGAGGTGAGCGACAGTTATCTTAAGGGCTCTCAAAAGTTTGCTTCAAGAGGCTAGCCAAAATCTCCTGCTGCATTAACTGCAGTTAGATTTCCTGTTGATAACAGCCCATGGAAAATCACCACACCCCCCTCCCCAAGCTGCCATGAGCAAAGACTGTTTATCAGCCAACAGCGTGCATGTTCTCCCTGTCGCCCTGTGCGTTTGCCATTTCCCTTCAGGCTGATAAACGTGTTACCTGTGAGAAGTCGGAAGTGCATTGTGAGTCTGTCCAACACTGGGCCTCATTTGGCTGTGGAAGTTTTCTGAAATTGAAAAGTCAGGACTGATGTGGAAAATGGGCTCACAGACAGTGGGACAGGAAACTGATTGCTTCCCCAAGGCTAGCTGAGTGGAAAAGGTGGGAGGAAGGAACAGAGTGTTCTCTGTGTGGTTGGAATTCCCCTCTAACGTCATAAGGGATGATGAAGCCTCTGGTTTTTATTTTTTATATTTTATTTTGCACCTAGAATAATACACTTGCAGAAAAGAGACAGAGGTGCCCACATGAGGTTTTTTCCTCTCTAAATCGTGATGACTTCTATGCCAAACTGAAGGCTACCAAGGAATGCTGGTGGGTGGATGGTGGGAACTATTTGGGTTTGGGCCTGATTATACGGAGGCCATAGGGATGCCTTATAAGGTACCCCTTCATTGGGGGTGGGAATAATTGGGTCTGCTCCCCAAGTTTTGAAAGGATGTCTGGGATTCTGGGCAAATACAGTCTCAGTCTCTTTAATGAGCCAATAGGTTTGTTTTAGTTGTTGAGGTCAGGGAGGGGGAAGCCACATAGGAAAGCAGAGTTCTGCAGACTGAGGTAGGGTGATGATGGAGTGCTCTTCACCCATGTGTATATCCGTCCCTTCTGTCATCCTGTGATGGTGCCAAAGTAGACCAAGTTATGTTTTCCTTATGATGCCATTTCACTGGCTTGAAGCCCACCTCAGTTATCATCTTTAGAGAGTAGACTGGCATGAGCTGTCTGCAATACAGTGTCAAAGGAAGTGACTGAA